CAATGAAATCCCAAAATACGATTTCAAAACTGACAAGATAAGTTGTCAGTGAGGAGGACGTATGTTGATAACCTTAACTATGTAATTGTGTGATGAAAGCCAAATCAGGATATCATGGATATGATGTAAAAGGTGTACACATATTATTTATATCATTATACACACTGGTAACTATTGTATGAATTAAAGTTTGCATCTTTACAATGTCGCCATTCATAATGTTCATGAACTGAACATTTTTTTTAAGGGCCCGATGGTCTGGAACCATTTTTGTTCAACCTATTGGTTCATTTTCATAATCATTTAGTTTGCCTATAATGAAGTTTTGTTTCCTCGTTCATCTCAAGAGGCTACGAGTGGACGCCTACACCGTGTGGAGTACACTGCATTAGGTAGAATTGATGCAGGTCACATAAACCGACGAGCGCAGACTAATAATAATAACGGACACAGTCTGTGTTTGAGCCTCGTTATCTTTATTTACACGAGCGGTGTCAGTTTTCGAGCATTGTAATTGTTTTGCCTCACCCGTTTCCTTCTCTCTTTTTTTATTCTTGACATTTGTGAGGATTGTATGGTTTTTTTTGTGATTTAGTCTAAGAGTCATATTTTGAAGATAAATGACTTCATAACAGACCGCCATGTTGGACACATCAGACTAAAACTGATACATATAGAAAGCGATGATAACGAAATGCCAGTTCTTTATCATTCATCCAGCATTGATCCCAACCTAGCCAAAGCTGATGAAACGTGTAACCTTTTAAGAGGCCATAAGCAAATTACAGTCACACTTTTAATTACAATGAGCTGGAGACGAATTTCATATGCAAACTTAAAAAAAGCGTATGTATCAGAATAATATTTGATCGTAAAGTAACAAGGCAAGTTTATGTGTGATTTAGTTCAGACGTAACTGTGATAAATATATCTTAATAATCGGAGATAAATATACAATCATTAAAATGTATATAAAAACAATATGATTGGTTAGCTACCACAACACGTCCCTGTATTCTTTAGTTAATAACATAGATACATATTGTCAGATGAATACAATCAAAACGAACATATGTTGTCAGATGAATGTGAATAATGCACGAATATGCTGTCAGATTAATATGAGCAAGACAATATTGTACATGCAATATCTGCCGCAGGTGGATTAATATAGGTTGGACATGATTGCTACATAATAAGAGTGAGTGAGTGAGTTGGGTTTAACGCCGCTTTTAACAGTTTTCCAGTTATATCGCGGCGTGTCAGCTTAATGTGGGAGGAAAGCCCGAAGTGATGCAGGTGCCAGACCTTTACCACTGCGGTGAAACCCAGGAGCACGGGTAGCTACATAATATGACTATATGACAGTTACATCTATGTTAATCATCAGCTGGTGATAAGTAGCAGACCACTACTCCTAAAGGAACACAGGCATTTGGCCCTGGACAAGGATTTACATTTGCGACTTCACCTTCAGCAGGAACACAATCTGCTAAAGCAGGCATGATTTGATTGTTTTCCTCTCCTTGGTTCATTATCGGCTGTTGACAACGAACGGCGATGTCTTCCTCTCGTATTTCACAATACCCATCGTCAGTCCTGTACTCCACAGTATTGTTCTGGTGACGAGCAGTGGCATAGTTGGTACTGTAAAATTAGAAGAAAAGATACATTTAAAGATCACAGGCAATTTTGAATATATATATATTAAAGGTTAGTACTTCAGATAGAGGTACTGTGGTATGGTTAAATTAGTATATTAAGGCTCGGGGTTGTTATTAGATATAGTCAGGTAATACCGTATGTGATTAAGGAGAGACATGTGCATGAGATGGAGAGTGGAATATTTATGAGATGAGGGGGCGAGAAGTCTAACAGATGAGGAAACGTGAAGTCTACGATTGGGATAGGAGTTCAGATGTGTAGGGCAGCGGCAGATAGACAGAGGCAGATGTGTGTGTGTGTGTGTAGGTGAAAGAGGAAAAAACAGATTCATGTTTCTCAAACATATTTATTCCTTCAGCAATGTACACAACAATAACCAGTAATAACATATACTCTTAAAAAAAAACATGCAAGGCCGGATTTGTGTGAGGCAGGGAAATACATTTATACAGACCGCACAAGGCATTGAGTCAAAATGTGGAGAGGACACTTGGCGATTGTAGTCATCTCAGTTACCGGTACATAGGAAAAGTCAAAGGTGAAGTTCAGCTACCATCAATAACGCATATGTCCCCCTTTGGATTCGATAACGGCCTGACATCTGCCCATAGAAGAGACAAGTATGTGAACCATATCCTGGGGAATGGTAGCCCTCTCGGCCTGCAACAATAAAGCCAACTGCTGCAACGTCTGGGGTTGTGGCTGACATCTATCAAATTCATACCGCAGGTGCTCTATCAGATTCAAATCCGGGGATCTGGAGGGCCATTGAAAGCATGAGCGGTGTTGTTGTGTAGACAGGCTCTTGTGCTCCGTGTTGTGTGGCCGAGCGTGGTCCTGCTGGAATACACTGTTGTCGTTGACTGCAGTTGGGAGGACGTGTGGTAGGAGAATTTCGTTGAACCGTAAGATTGCAATAGGTATGGACTAAACCTGCCACGATGAGAGATATCCGACCACATCATAGCGCTATCCCCGCCAAACCTGACTACTTCCTGTACGCAATTGACCGCGTAACATTCTCCCCGACGTCTGTGGACCCGTGCCCTTCCACCCCCTCGATGGAGGAGAAATATTGACTCATCGCTGAACCAGATTTCTCTTAATCACAGTTCAGTCCATACCCTGTGCTGACGACACTGATGCAGTCGTTGTTGACGATGTTGTCGTCACAATATATATGACGTGCCAAACAGGACGTCTTGCTCGTAGACCTGCTGCTCATAAACGGTTTAATGCATTCTGGTCGAAGATCCTTCGCAGCTCGGTATTTGGAATGTGGTTTAGGTGGCTGTGATCGTCCTTTCACGTAGGTGGCGTAGTCGGATGTAGCGATCTTGGGAGGGGGTGGTTATTCTTGGTCGTTCATACCTTGGCCGATCACTTGTTGACTGAAGCTGTTGAAAACGACCCCATAACCTTGTGGTTTGTGCAGGGTGCTACATTAAAAACTCTAGGTACTGCTGATCGGGATTTTCCTGCTATGACGTTGTTTCTTTGCACTTTTATTATTCTTGGCATGTTGTTGAACTGTCACTGTTCGATGGACGAAGATGTAAGGCAATCAACTTTAATATCGTCCATAGTGCTGCTGCACGTGCAGTACATGCAGCTCCATAGTCCGTTTGTTAATGCACACTAATGGTTTGCATTTGGTGTAATCATATTGAACACAATAACACATTAAACCTCTTCATTTTGCACCTGTCGTTCCGCTAATTTTGCCAAGTTGTTCATCTGATCTCTGAACGTCACATTTTCGAGTTTGTGTCATCAAACTCCAGGTTTGATCCTCCCTGAGAGCGTCAAGTCGCTGGTTTAAGTCAGACGCAATTTTGGTGTTCGTACTGATCACACTGATCACTTGTACTGACAACAGTCAAAACGCTTTTACTTACCCATAGTATTGAAAGCAGATGGTTGCATTTTAAGTAGACACATTTAATGGCCAATAGCACATGGTTGATGTTAAGCTTTGCTGGGTGTTTTTTCTGTATGTTTGTATAAGGTATTAAGAGCTACAGCACACTGCAGTTATGGGTATAGTCTGTCTTATTAATAGGGGCGCATCTAGATACACTTTTCTTAGAATGTACATTTCTTTGGTAGTGTCTGATCATATAGTTGCCCCGATAGATCAACACTCTAATGACAATCGTTACTTACTCCTTGCAAAATGACAAATGCTTAGTTTGCAATATTTATTTGAATACACACTCTTTTATCCTACATTTAATACCCTTTACACAATGTTCATTAACGTCCGACGAGGTGGGATACCGAGACTGCACACTTCACTGGAGTCTTGAGGTTGGCCAGGAGGTCGTCTTTGTGAAGCTTGGGGCAGTATTTTCGTTGTCGATATTTCCTCCTTCCTTGTTTTGGAAGATGGCTATGTGCATGGGTCTGGGCTATCGTCGGAAGTGTTAGCTGGACATGTAGCAATAAAGCATTTCCATAGTTTGGTGGAACCTCGTGTTTTACTAATACTAACCTCGTGTTAAGGCTGTGGCCACCACGACTGGTAGGGGTAAACTCGATATATATTCTCAAGTGCACTTGCCATTTTGCAATGAAGCTACTTGGTGTGCTCAGTATTTAGATGCAATATCTTTGATCACTTGTCAACTTTCCCAAACAACCGTCTTAATTACTGCAATGTTCAAATTGAGTTAACTGAGGTATCGGTATGGTGAACATCGTTCATCCAGAGTTTAGTTCACTCACTTAAAATGCTGCCCCCAGTGCTTGTAATAACACAGTAATTGTAAATTCGATTACTAGTCCAAATTAGATTTTCATTGAATTAAAAACAATTGAAACATTGTATAAAATGAAATCGTATATTTAATGTGTATATGTATATAAGTTTAAAACATTATATAAAAACAAATGTTATGTACACTTCATATATGAAATATATGAGTAACAGATTAGCTATTGTTAATCTACCCATTGTCTCCGCATTTACTATGGCTGACTGCACTTATAACCAGAACAATAGGCGGTGGCAACACGGGAAGGCCCCAATTAAAGTGACATTTCAATGTTGTAAATATAAAAAGTGAATTACTTCAAAAATATGGCTGGTGCTCATTAGCTTTGCTCTTTGCTATGGTGGATAATTAAAGTGATGTTTCCATATAAGTAGCTGTTAAGAACGAAGTACATGAACTATATGTCAAATATATACAAAATATAAACATATGAATTAATGTTAATAATGTGAAGTATCTAATTATAAATTGTGAACTTTTGCAACTGGAACAGTGGAAAACTGAGTTGCCAGACATTTTAACTTTCATCGAAACATGAGACGTTACCAACAGGATGGCAACACTCATTCCTTGCAATGAGGCGATGCTCCAATGCGATGTCACGTCAACAAGACCTCAATATTCGTTTTGTGCATCTACAGGATCGACAACAAACTGTCACATTAACAGCTCGAAAACTTCCTGTGTTGGGATCAATTCGTTGCAGAACAATAGAAAACTGGTTGAGGGAGCACAACGTCCTGCTCTGATTTCACCCTCTTTGCTTCCTAGACACGCCTTGCTTGGTGCAGACAGTACTGGGACTGTGTACTGGGATGAGGCAATTCTTCATATGGACAACTCTGAAGGTCGTGCAATGGTCTGCAGGCGTCCATGAGAACAAAATAGAGGCGCTTGCGTAAATCAACTTTGTCAGTGTGGGTTCAGAAGTGAAATGGATATTGTGTGGCTCATTGGTGTTACTTGAAGGTCGTAAGCTACAGGGACGACATTGTTTCGATACCATCTTAGACCCTTTGTGTAAATGCAACGTTGTAACGTCAATTTGTAGCAGGATTATGCCCGGGCACGGATTGGACATGTTGTAACATACGTTTTGAGATAGCACTGACAAGGCGGTCTGTTTCTCCAAATATTTCACCAATAGCATATGTCGGGGATGTGATGAAACAGCTGATATTGATATTGATGGGTTAGATGTTACTCCATCCTCCTTTAGTGTGTAGCGCTTTGGTTACCAGGTATGGGTTTGTCAACGAAATTCGTATTTAAGTAAGGAAGATCAAATCCAAATATTAGATTATATTGAAACCTTCATTTGGTATTGTAAAATCATATCATCGAATATCAACGTTCCCCAGTAACAATGTGTTGAATTGGTATCAACCTTGTGTGAAACATATACATTTACAACATATGTACCTGTATCCTTTACTTGTATATTGTTGTGGATATCACGTGTCACTGACGTGGTTTCTGCTACAGCTGTGTTTCAATTTATGTGATATATATATTTACATTAATCTATATATCGTCATGAACCTAAACACTCTGAGCCCACAATTCATTGATGTCGTTTATGGTTCTGCTGTCTCTGCCTGTGATATATTCATATAACGTCATTAACCTAAACACTTGACGTAGCACGTTCTTGCTCGCGCGTCATTGATGTCGTTTCTGGTTCTGCTGTGTCTGCATGTTCCAGGTCACGTGACATGTTTGCATGCTGTGCCGACCTCAGTTGGTCATAGCCAGAACAACTGGCACGTGCTGGCTGCCTCTCACCAGTGAGCGGATCATACATCTTTGCTTCATCGACGACAGCATATTCTCGAGCATCAATGGCCTCTGGTGACACATGCGTGCACTGAACAGGAGTGACGTACTGCTGAAACCTGCAAGTTGATTACTTTTTGAGAATAATCTTCTCGAATTGACAACACTGTATGTGTAGGTGTGTGAGTGCGTGTCGGTACCTAACAATTGTAATTATGGTCTGCTCTATTTTGGAGCAATTATTTCTATACCCAATTTCTCACTGAAAAGAAACTACTTGAGCCTTAACAATAAATGTATAAATGCATGAGTCCAAAAATATGTGAATTATGTTTTACAAACATGGAAACTGAGAATATTAGGATTGTTATTTTCGATACGTTTCACTATTGAAATTCACTGTAATTGTCATTGGTTTCATAAAGACTTGCATGCAAGACTAACAATATTAACAAATATCATCTTCAGGATGACATAGTTAGCACTGAAGTGCCCTGCACTGCCCAATCATAATATGGTGCACAAGCAAGGTCATTATTTCCTTGACTTATGGATAGGTGTCTCTGTGATGAACTTATAAATGGAGAGTTATGCTGCAAGCTGTGATCCAAACCAAATGATGGTGAGTGTAGGTTTGACACCAAATAAGTTATTCAATATTTAGATGACACTTATTAGCATTTCATATTTAGATCTATGCATGCAGATTCTGAGAGACATACACATCACTACGCTTTATGACAAGAAGGATGACTTCAACTTCCTATCAGTCAACTGTCAATTTATGCAGAGCAATATTCCTGCAGCTCCAACCTTTGGTGTCTATATGTTAAGCTTGTGAGTCACAATCGGGCATGATCTTGATTTTCAAAGATCGTCATAAAACCTTTGCTCACAAGCTGTTTGATCAAGTTTCCAATATTCAAAGCATCAGTAAAACTTTCAAGTCGGTTCGTGCAAAGCATGTGAAGGACATTTCCATATTTGATTAAACGATTATGTCCGATGCAACTACATACGTATTTTCCCGTGTTTTATTTTAGGTGAACAATTGCCTTGCTCGTGCATGTACTTATAACAAGGGACACCGAGAGGACAGGATTCCCGAACACCCTGTATCAGCACAATTTGATAGGGATATATAAACCCATGGTGATAAAATAGTTCGAATCTTTCAATCGACTCTCTGTTTAGAAGACATTTTATTTTATTGGTATGTCAATGCTTTTGTCACTTTTATTACATATATATAACTGATGGCGGATAACACAATACTTTATCAATGCTTAAGTTGTCAAGCTGTTTCGTCCATCAATCAGCATTAGTCAAGCTATATTATGGCGGCCTGTCAATAATTGAATCTAGGCCAGGTAAACCAGTTGATGATGTCATGATCAACATTCAATGTCATCAAGTTAGAATGAGACACAGTCATCAACACCACAGTGGCTCACCACCCTATTGGTCCCAAATTTAGAAGTCTGCACTTACGACAAGCGTGGCACGGGGACTAAAGGACTCGTGGAAAAAAAAACAAAAAAAACTGTTTTGCTGGATTTAATAATCGACACAAAGCATTACGTAGATGTAAATACGATATAGCAAAACAACTGGAAAAGTACTAGTCTCGATTTGCTAGTTTTATATCAGTGCTCAATACAAAATGTACTTTACAGGAGGTAATTTGTAGTCACTTTCAACATTCAAAAATAAAACTAAGTCCAAATTAACATGGCAGTAACAGGCTATAGGCACTGTGCAAATTAGCCTGGAAAGAGTAATCAAAACAACAATAAAGATAACAGCTATGGTTATGTACATAATAATAATGACATGTAAGTTGTTGTTTAAGAAGGGAATATGTTACTTTTACGTTCTGATATTTTGACGATGAGTCACTATCCGACAATGCCACTCACAAATCACTAACCACTGACAAATCACATGCACGTGGCTTTCAGGCACCTGTTTTCAACTGTTGTCAAGGTATCATAGGTCATGGACATTCACCTTGATCTACTAACACCTGGTTATGCTTAGTTTCACAATAGTCTGTTTATTCATATTTGTACATTTTTAAGTGTAAAAAACACACATAAAAACCTTTGATACGCTGTATTTTGTGCCAAGGCCCAATTAGTACTAGTTGAGTTGTTTGAATATTTATATATTTTGTATATTAACTGCATTTATTTAAAATCTGAGATCGAAAAAACATGTTTTTTTTTCATTTCCATGAGTACTTTAATTGTGAAATTGAACATGGGCATACTGCAGACGGTGGCTTGCTCACATACTCCATCACTAACCTGTTTCTCCTCGAGCGTTGACAATATCGGCAGTACACAACCAGGGAGATCGTAAAGATGAACAGGAAAGATGATGTAGCTAGTCCTATAGCTAGTCCAGTAAACAGTCCCCCGTTATCACCTGAGGACGAACAAGGTTCATTTGCAAATACTGTCTGGGTAGAATACCGGTGTTTGCAGGGTTAGGTTTCAGTTAGAGGTAGGTTGAGTGGAAGGAGTTGGGGTACTGTAAAGGTGCGGTTGGGAGAGGTTCGAGGTTCTGGAGGGATCGGTCCAGGTATTAAACATATGGGTAGGGGTGGGTAGATGTGAGAAAAGAGTGGTGTGTGGAAGAATCAGGGAAAGTGGTATTTTCATGATACGTCGAGCAGTAAGTGTGCAATACAGGATGTATAGTAGATCTAAGACATGAGGTAGTGAGAAGGGGATTGGTAGGGTTACGAAATGGGGGAGCAGGAGGTCTGAGGGATAGGGGTGTAGGCAGTCTATGTGATAATAGAGTGGGAGGTTCATGAGATTGCAGAATTGGAGGTCTGAGGGAAAAGGGAGAGGGTGGTTTAAGATATACGGGACGGGGACTCAACCCCAAAACATTTCGAGAATCTCAACTCAGAAAGTTTAATCTCAAATATAACATTTGTTATATTCGACCACTTTCTAAATGGCATTGTGTGTTCAAAGAAAGTATATGACTTTTAAAATTAAAACGAAAACGCATACAATAGTTTGAATGTGCTGCACGCAACAGTGTCACACATGTGTGTAGGTAGTGCTTCATGATTCAAAGAAGGTCAAATAATCTCTGTTGACCATTATTTCTCACAATTTATTCTGCAACAGTTTGCATGATGGAAACTGGCAGTGATCAATACGATCAATGTTTCACAGTCTGAGATTAGAAGACAATGGATCTAGTACCAAGAAACCCACAAATGTTTTCAATCGACCCCGTTCAGGGCGTCCCATTTCAACGACTAGAGAACTTCCTGGATTGTTCTGATAACAGGCTCTACACAATCTGGCAACTTGAGTTCCAGTTATGGGTCAGGAAATAAGAAATCGTCCACAAACAGGTCAGCTCCATTCTCGATGGCCACGTGTTGTGTCGACCCTTACACATCGTCATCCTGACAACATACGTCAATGGTGTACACAACATCTAAACTGGAGTAATCATCGCTCGTCACGTCATGTTTGGAGATGACTACTGATTCACTTGCACTGCCTAGCTAGGCGTGTTCGTGTCACCATTATGACTTAGCGAACCCCATTCCATGTTGTGCAAGGAAGGGTCAGGACACCGTTAATTGGACAACATACTGACACATGTGGGTCGACGTTTTGCCTTTTGTCATACTTTCAATGCACGAATCGTCAATGCTCAGGTCGAGCAGTACAACATATATAGAATGCCATGACCAGGAATGATCCTAGACCTTGCCCCAAATGAACGCGTCATGGACAGGACAGAGGAGCGTATGCGTCAACATTATAGGCCACAGTCCACGTTGGCTTAACTTGGCCAGGCGCTGCAAGAGGAATTAGATAGACTCACTTAAATCGCCACTGGGGGACTGATACACAGTATACCTCGTCGAGTGCATTGATGTTTGACATTGATGTTTGACAAATCACCGAAGAAACGTCAACTTTTAAATTTCCCATCGTCCTTCAAGAAAGTTGGTGGTCATAGCATCCACTGGCATTCCTCACTACCGGTTGTAAAGTGTTCTAATGTTCGACCATGGTTATCATACAACTATTACTAGAAACTAATGTTAGATATTTGCGAGTGTCGCCTACTTTTTGTAAGAGAATGAGAGACAGATTGGTGTACCGGAAACATACTGAAGCAGTAGTAATGGTCAAGCACAAGGATGGTGTCCAAGGAGGCTATGTTTATAGGTGTCCCTGGTATCATTACTCATTCAGACTGATTCATAAAAAAATATCATATCTGAGATATAGACATACATATTAATTGACTAAGGTCATAGCAGAGATTTATTATTGAATGAATGGTGTCTTCAGTGAGACACCTACTATCAAGCTGTCTGTGCATCATCATTCAAAGCTGTGCTACTTAGAGCATCATGAGCAAGTTCTGTGCAGGCGTTAATAATAGTCACTATATCAAAACATAAGATAATACCTACGAGGTTTCTCATGACAACCAGTCCCGTAGTAGGAGTCGACACATCCAGACACACAGGATGAGCCCAGCTGACAATATCCTTCATCACAACCACCTGGACATGTTGTGCATCCATCCCCTGGATTGTCACATGGTATGTTGCAATCCAAGCCTTGATATCCTGGCACACAGCCGTCAGTGCAGTTACCAGTGTCAGTATTGGTATTTAAAAGAGTGCACTTCTTATTCTTACAGTTATAACTGCAATTTGAGCTGCATTTCTGATCAAAATACCCAGTGTCACACTCAGTGAGGCAATGTCCCGTTGTGTTGTCACAGTCTGAACAGTGATGGTTATCCATACATGGGTCAACTGAAAGTAGAAATGCAGATATGTATTAATATGTGTGTGCATAAGGTCCAATGTATCCTGAATACGATGTTTTATACAAATTGAAGGTGTATAATTGTGGACCTGAACAGCTGTAAGAGTTTTCGAATCTTCTCTTGCGTAAAGTACTTAGTAGTTTGATGAACTCTCTGTGTGGCCATGCTAACAAATGTATCCCGCCACAATGTTATCATTTACAACATTTTGAAAACAATTAAAATCCAGACGCTTTATTTCTTTGTGTTGCGTATTTATAGTTCGGTTGTGTGCATCACGCACACCTAAAGGTAATGTTACTAAACATTACCTGACACACTTTCGCTGTAAAGGACCCTATTGTAAATGTAGGCGATATGCAATATACATAGATCATAAAGCAAGCATTGCGCGTCATACAAAACTCGTTTTTTTGACTGAATGACATTGTTGTTTAGGGACAGGATCCTTATGGTATAGACGTAATCGTCCAGTGGTGTCTGCTACAGGAACATATTTCTTATGGTTATGGAAACAATTTCGTTTATCCTGCAAAAGTACTACCTTAGTGGGACACCTCTCGTTAGGTTTAACGTGTACCAGCATATTAAGCTACTTTACTGTGATTATTAACTGCAAGATCTGATTGACTCATGCATCTCATGTTGCAGCCTATATGATATTGCAACCAGTCATAAGACAATGCCTACCATGTGTCTCGACACAGTCAGTCCCGTACGAGGAGTCTACACATCCAGACACACAGGAGGAGCCCAGCTGACAATATCCTTCATCACAACCACCTGGACATGCTGTACAGTTACCTCCTGGACTGTCGCATGGTATGGTGCAACCCAAGCCTTGATATCCTGGCACACAGCCCTCAGTGCAGTTATAAAAGCCGTTGCTGACAAGTACGCATTTGTGATTCATACAGTTATCACTGCACTCTGACCTGCATTTCTGATCATAATACCCAGTGTCACACTCAGTGAGGCAATATCCCGTCGTGTTGTGACAGTCTGAACAGTGATGGGTTTCCTTGCATGGGCCAGCTGAAAGTTAAGATGCAGGTATATATCAATAGTTGTTTTGTGAATAAGGCTGAAGAGTGTTGATTATGGTGATAAGTACGAATTGAATTGAAAAATGCGTCACAAACGACACCTGACCAGCCATTATACGTTTAACGTTATGTTTGGTGTACTCTTTTTAACCGACTACCCTGACAACGAAAATTATTTGCTGTCATGTTTTATCATTTACCGCATTTTGAAAATAAACGTTTATTCACACTACTAACTTAGCTCCAGACAACTACTTATTTTCGGGTGGGCTCTGTGCATCCCGTACATCTAAATTCATTTACTATACTTCATGCACTACGTAATATGCTTTGTGTAGTGATCTAGAGTTGCAGTAATTACAAAGATCGGTAATGTGCCTTCTACCATGATGGCGATGCTTATTGTTTCCATTTATGCACTGGCACTGATATAGCGGGATATACGGACATTTATCAAAACATAATTGACTAATAATACGAATGTATTTTATAATGTAAATAATGATATGTATGGCGTTGAACGATAAACAATACTTGTAAAACTTTATACTAATTGATATTACTTTACAGATACAAATGACTCATAGTACATACCTATTCATTATATATGATTATGAATATTGGTACAAATAAGATTGAGTTCAGACAATCTCCATCACGATCTTATCAAATATAACTTATTCTATTTCCCTCAAACACGCACGCACGCGCCGTACGCATGGATCGCACGTACGCACCGTACGCATCCACGCACGCACGCACGAACCGCACCGCACCGCACCGCACCGCACCGCACCGCACCGCACCGCACCGCACCGCACCGCACCGCACCGCACCGCACCGCACCGCACCGCGGTTGGCACGCACTAACTACCATATGAAGACACTACAAAGACAATCTCAAGAATATATTATTTTACCTTTAATAGCAAACATTAAGTACGCTATCCATATCATCAGCGCGGCGGCCATTCTTTTGCCTGAAACTGACGTGAAAGAAGAAACATTTGATAAAACACCAATCACCCATTACAACACAAAGTAAGAGAACACTAAACAAAGTAAAAACGTTCTGAAAACAAGGTGCTGCAGATGCAGAGGACATGTTGACATTTACCTCCTCTCTGAAACTGAGAATGCAAAAGACAAATCAAATCTCAGCATGAGTATTTTGTGGTGTCCAGAACATCATAAATGCTCTTTTATTATAATCGACATGTACTTCCATTATGTCGTATTTATACACTGAAGCTTCCCGTTTATACCTTATGCTGAAGAACTGTATGTGGACCAAATGAAGGAGTTTACAATAGACGTCACATCGGTAACATTTCAGCCACATCGTGACGAGTACTTTATGTGGACCAAGAATGGCCTTTATCATACATGTGTCAGAGGGAGCTGGTTATTTAATATTTTAATGGATTCTTTTATGTAAAGATCTTATCAGTGAAATTTAGACAATGCCACATAAGAAGGCACTTTTAAGAAAAACACACTAGTTCTATACATCGAGGGAACTAAGTTATATATACAAGTAGGTGGTCTTAGATGTTTACAAGGAACCCGTGTTGGAGAAACCCCAAAGATGATGATGGTTTTAGATGCTTACAAGGAACCCGTGTTGGAGAAACCCCAAAGATGATGATGGTTTTAGATGCTTACAAGGAACCCGTGTTGGAGAAACCCCAAAGATGATGATGGTTTTAGATGTTTACAAGGAACCCGTGTTGGAGAAACCCCAAAGATGATGATGGTTTTAGATGCTTACAAGGAACCCGTGTTGGAGAAAAACCCAAAGATGGTGGTGGTCTTAGATGTTTAGAAGAAACTACTGTGGGAGAAAAACCCAAAGATGGCGGTGGTCTTAGATACTTAGAAGAAACTACTGTGGGAGAAAAACCCAAAGATGGTGGTGGTCTTAGATGTTTACAAGGAACCCGTGTTGGAGAAACCCCAAAGATGATGATGGTTTTAGATGTTTACAAGGAACCCGTGTTGGAGAAACCCCAAAGATGATGATGGTTTTAGATGTTTACAAGGAACCCGTGTTGGAGAAATCCCAAAGATGATGATGGTTTTAGATGCTTACAAGGAACCCGTGTTGGAGAAAAACCCAAAGATGGTGGTGGTCTTAGATGTTTAGAAGAAACTACTGTGGGAGAAAAACCCAAAGATGGCGGTGGTCTTAGATACTTAGAAGAAACTACTGTGGGAGGAGAGCCCAAAGATCGTGGTGTTCTTAGATGTTTAGAAGAAACTACTGTGGGAGGAAAGCCGAGGCAAGGCAACATGCATTCGGTGGTGAGGAAGAAGGAATTACTCTAACCTTGGTCAAAAGTCATACACACGTTTACAGCTAACTATGATGTCTCAGATGATTGAGCCAACCGTGACTCGTAAATTATCGTATCTACTTAACTGTAGATGTACAACTTCAACAACAGAAGGATAATAATCCAGGATCTGAACTTGGATCTGAAATATGAAATATGAAATTAATAGACGGCCAAGCGTCCAATAGAGGAATTACGGTAGTTTGATATCGGATGTGTTTGGCGTTCCCTGTCGCAAACCCTGAGTGCTTCGATGCTGACATTATAAGATTTATTGAAGGCATATATGTTGCATACAAATGAAATGTTTATGAAACTGTTAGGGCCTTGTTCCTTGGCGACCAGAAACATGATAGTTTCCTCATTGAAACAACCGATAATGTGATGGATATTCATTGTCATCTCCATCACCCACCACCATGAGGAATTGGCAGGAGAGGATTTGAAAGCCCATGAGAAAACACTCCTTCCTTCGAAAGGCGAAAACAATGTCACGACATGACATAAGTCACAGCACATTTGATCATAGCAAATTATCAAACGTAATGAGATTCATTCCAGAACATGCACAATGAAGAATATCATGAACCACTGTTTCTGGACCACCACTAAGAAATTCATTTTCTTTCACATGCTGGCTTTTAAACCGTGAAATCGGGAAATTGAAAGGTCAAATCAGACCCCTAGTGTCTAAAACAGCCGTCTCGTTTGCAGCCTAAAACGTGTCTGTTCAATCATTCTTCAGTTCCATTGGTAATCATATCGTACCAGCAGTCTCATTCCCAGTTAATATACAGGTTAATGATGAACCACGTCATAGATCTGGTTTGTCATCTTGCTAATTTACTTTGTCAAGGAAAATGCAAACATTAGCAGCCATACTGACAGTCGTGAAGTGATAGTATCCGTGATGTAGGTCGAGTTCTGCCAAATTCAAGTTCTTGGAGGAGAGGCGTTTTTTTAGTCGGGGTAATTGCAAACTTAAAAGACTTACACATGTACAATAAATATTAGAATATTAATTTATAAGGTTTGTTGTTAAAATATATCCGTTTAGCATTTGGAAACAAATCTCACTTATCTGTCAAAACATATTCCATAAGGCACAAAAGGCAAAATAGTTATGAACTTGATATGTGTGGATCACTGAAAAAAATGCAATAGATCACTTACAATATTATTTTGTAAAACACAACTAAATAGATCAGTTGTTTATCATAAAGGTAATACGACATCATGCTTGATGTGATTTATGTTATTCAATGGAGGATCACGAGCATGAGCACGATTATCCGGAGCTCGACAGTCTACGTGGAAGTAATAAAAAGTAGAGGGGTTTAACCATTTGTCAAACTACAATTTGTTCGTTTACAGAAATATGTCTGATATACACTAATACCACTGTATTCAAACATACATGAATGCCATAGACACACATCAATGCCACTCGTAGACATATGGATATTATATTTATGTTTGGTCGGACACACACAGTAATTGTATGGAAAGTAGTCACCCCTGTACATTGTTATAACCAGAACAGTCTAATACAACTGATACTCATCCTGCGCAAACCCATCATGGCACACATCATACTAATTTGTTACGTGGGATATCAGTTAATCTCTAAGTTTCAATACACAGCTGAAGGGAAAGTGCCGCTCGAAATGTATTGACCGTCAAACAGCTCTTCACCAAACAACGTCTTGAATAATACGATAAAGATTTACTACCCTTTTCAAAAAGGTTGTGCCAATTCCGTTTATGGAAACATTTATGGGGAGACATTATTCCTTACAAAAATAATCGTAGATGACCTATTCACTGATATTTGCAAATAGAAACAAGCTCACTAAAAATTTACATTTTGAGACTCAATTAATATGATCATGACTTTCTTCAATTGAGGAAGTTACAAATACTGATACCTTTCCCCCGATAATTAACCGTTAATACTGACCTTTTGCCCCCAAGATATAAAATCAGATGTTATGTACAACCACGTGTAATTTTGATAGATTGAGTGAAACAGGTTGCATGCATGTGTTGTTACCATGCCAATCTGCATCATCTCAATAATGTGCAACATGTTCTCTGGATGCATATAGCACCGAACATTACACTCTGTGCACGGAGCCTCCTTTCCAAATAAAATTGACAAAACCCTGTTCTTAATTATAACAATGATCAGCTGAAACAGTGAGTCTATTGAACGTTTCTTTAAAAAACAACAGCCTTGAAAAAAAACAATGTTGACCAATGTTAATATATGATGAGCATCGCCCCTATACCAAGCCGCCATGCATAGAAACTCAACAACACAAGTTACCGTGACACCACTATTTTAGTATATTTTTCAAACAAGTAAAGTTTGGTTTTCAATATTGTAGTACATGTATGGAATCAAGTCACAAACACGCAACTGCTACAAAAAAGCATGCATTCTATGCAAAAGCTGACTTTTATGCAAGCCCCATGCATTTCACTACCTAAGAATGGGTATTAAAACATGTGCCTTAACGGGATACCATATGCATTGTTTGGCATCGTGCTGACACCAATCACTCAGAAAAACAAGAACACTACACAGTTATTCAGCATAACGAAATTCCACGCATGTCCGAAAATGAGCGTCTGCGAGCAATCGGTATGCTTGAAGCAGTATCGAGTCAACGTGATGTTGCAAGACAATTTAACGTCCACCGAAACACCATTTGGTGTTGATGGCAACATTGGCAACAGACGAATGCAGTCAGAGACCATCCTGGGAGTGACAGGCCATGCGTAACCAATAATCGACAACTGGATTCGAACAGTACACCTACGAAATCGATTCCAGCCAGCAACAGAGACTGCAAGAAGCATCCCTGGCCTTCTACGAACATCTTCTCCATCCGTATGTCGTTGCCTCAGATGTGCGGGGATTGATTTTGACAGGAAACCACCGCCAAGCACGTCTACAGTGGTGCAGACAGCGTCTACGCTGGACGGCCATGCAGTGGGGACAAGTTCTATTCACTGACGAGCCTCGTTTTCACCTCAGCCACAGCGATGGACGGATTCGAGTGCACCGAAGTCGAGGTGAACGTTACGTCAATCATTGTGTCATGGAAGAAGATCAGTTCGGGGGCGGCAGCGTTTTGGTATAGGGTGGGATTACAGCAAGACAGAGGACCCGTTTGATAGTGGTAATCTCAATGAACAGCGCTACCGCGACGAGATCATCGGCCCTGTTGTACTACCGTTTTTGCGTCGTCATGGCCCAGGCATTACCTTTCAACATGACAACTGCTCGACTTGTTCAGGATTCTCTCCAACAAAACAACGTGAATGTCATCCCCTGGCTGGCTCGCTCCCCTGATCTCTCACCAATCGAGCACATGTGAGATGAGATGGATCGGGGCCTTCGACGTCAACCACGTGTTCCACAGACACTCCACAAAACTTCGAAACATGCTCCAGCAGATATGGACAGATATCCCATAGGACTTTGTGCGACGCTTGGTTCATTCCATGAGACGAAGATGCGTTGCTTGCATCGCAACCAGAGGTGGACACACACGCTATTGATTTGTAAATTGACATTTTGGCACGTTCACGTATTTTCTGAAGTCAGTATGGCAAATTAAACCATTTAAACACTTAC